AACGAGCAAGGATGGTCCGTAGCGCCAGACTTTGTGCACGTCACCTTGCATGACTCAGGGTAGTCGCATGCATATGCGTACAGTGCTGGCCAAGCATTATAGGATGCACCACTCGGGTCATCCACCCTCACTCCAGTGTGAGATGCTTTTCTCAATGGCTCCATAACCAAAGTTAAGATGTGTTGGAACACCACCAACTTGTCTAAAGCATCGTACTCAGGGGTGTAATTGGGTAGAAGGGCCAATAGCACATGACCCCATGGCTGCCAACGATCATGCTTGTCGATGTTACCCAACGTGAGGTACACCGGATGGCCTTTAGCCTTTCCTCGCTGATCCATTGTTGTTTCATCACTCGATAGAATGAGTGCCGCCACAACACCCTCTCCATCAACCTTTTGGATCTCATTGTGCAACGTAAACCACCAATCTCCAGTTTCAGGAGTGGTGTACATATGAGTCTCACGAGGGATGCGAGGTGTGGGCTTTAGAACAAGCTTCTCCCCAACTTTTGGGTGGGTAAGAAGGTCTTTCAATGCTATGATAAAGTCACAGAAGAAAAACTTGAGAGTGGATTTGTCACCAACGCGCACTTGGCTGCGTTTCCAATTGCGATGGGGGTTTGGCACATGGTCATGAACGTATTTCTCAACGTCTCGCACTGTTTGAAAGGCCGTAAGCTCGTCAATCATTGCACCATCATGGTTTAAAATGCGTAATAAAGAGTCAATAGCTTTCGTAGACAACTTGCTGGTGAGGAGAAAATGCACAAAAGCGTCTCGAAAGTTGAATTCAGATGTGTTCTCAACGGGTCCTGGCCCCTCCCCACTCTCCTCACCGCCCACGCCCACATCCTCAGCAGACCGTTCTCGCCCGTCCGGTAGGTCCACCTGAGATTGGGGTGGAGGGATGCTAGACGGGAGTGGTGGACGGCGCGCCGTTGATTTGTCGAGTGGCACATGGCTGCTCAATCCTGGTTGTTCGGGATGGTAGATGTTTAGTCGCGGAGAGGGCGTGGATGCAGGGGCCGTGCGGGATACGAGAAAGGGAGAGGCCCTTGATGCTGCAGCGGCGGCATTTGCTGCATTTGTCCGACACCCGTCGCTGATTTGGTGATTGCGGAGCGGACCTCGCCCGCCAAATCCAGTCGCGCCACACCTAATGCAATCATATGGCATCCTGCAAGCCACATGCATGTAAAGGTGGGAGGGGCAGAGAGAGGGGGAATGCAGAGAGGAGGAGAATGCAGAGAGGAGGAGAATGCAGAGAGAGGGGGATGCAGAGAGAGGGGGAATGTAGAGAGGAGGAGAATGCAGAGAGAGGGGGAATGCAGAGAGGAGGAGAATGAAGAGAGGAGGGGGATGCAGAGAGAGGGGGAATGCAGAGAGAGGGGGAATGCAGAGAGAGGGGGAATGCAGAGAGAGAGGGAATGCAGAGAGAGGGGGAATGCAGAGAGGAGAGGAATGCAGAGAGAGGGGGAATGCAGAGAGAGGGGGAATGCAGAGAGAGGGGGAATGCAGAGAGGAGAGGAATGCAGAGAGAGGGGGAATGCAGAGAGGAGGAGAATGAGAGAGGAGGGGAATGCAGAGAGAGGGGGATGCAGAGAGAGGGGGAATGCAGAGAGAGGGAGAATGCAGAGAGGAGGAGAATGAAGAGGAGGGGAATGCAGAGAGAGGGGGAATGCAGAGAGGGGGAATGCAGAGAAGAGGGGGATGCAGAGAGAGGGGGAATGCAGAGAGGAGGAGTGTGAAGAGAGGAGGGGGATGCAGAGAGAGGGGGAATGCAGAGAGGAGGAGAATGAGAGAGGAGGGGGATGCAGAGAGAGGGGGAATCCAGAGAGAGGGGAAATGCAGAGAGGAGGAGAGTGAAGAGAGGAGGGGGATGCAGAGAGAGGGGGAATGCAGAGAGAGGGGGACTGCAGAGAGGAGGAGAATGAAGAGAGGAGGGGGATGCAGAGAGAGGGGGAATGCAGAGAGAGGGGGAATGCAGAGAGGGAATGCGTTTGTGCGCGCGACGAGGGAATGAGCCGGGAATGCGCGACGAGGGAATGCGCGCGACGAATGCTATGGCGGGAACGCACTGCGGGACAATGCGAGTCGAGGCGTGTAGCTACGGAACCGGGCGGGCAAACGAGTGCGACGAGGCGGTGTGATTCGTTCGATTGCACAGCAATCTAGTGGTAGGGACACCGTACTGAGCATGCTAGTCATCTACAACTCACCTAAGGCGTCTTGGATGTGTGCGTATGGATTGCGTTGAGTGGAGTCGGGCGAGGGTCGTGGAATGCAGAGAGGAACGAGGCGGCGGTTTGGCGTGCGGAGCAGAGTCGCGGCGAACCGTGAGAATCGTTCGGAGGACGCGGTTGTGCAGTTGAACCGGTTCTATGGCGGCCTAAACTTAGCCCGCTTGAAACCGATGTTTCAGATCGCTTCAGGCCAATGCAGTGGCTGAGGTTGACAGGAGGAGCTCACGAGAATAGAACTGAACGGTTGCTCTCTCTCGGCAAGAGCTCAAGTCCGTGAAACTTGTGAACAAACGCAAGGTGTTGATTGCGAACAGGAGTAACGAGGTCCCTTGCCGTTCGCAATTTTCGCCAAACCACGTAGCGTGTGGATTCCCCCGCTTTTACCCGATGGTCGCGCGACAACGAAAGTGTGTGCGTCACGAAATAATCTCAGACAAATGCGTGCGCGTCACGTAGCGCTCCGCGACAAACCATCCAATTAAACCGTTGCAATCGAATTGACAAGCCCAACCACCAACCAAAAACTTATCATGTAACGCTTTACAAACATGTAGTAAACCATCAAGGTATGGGCCTAAACAAACACAAGAGATACAATCAGTTATGGTGAGAAACAAAAATAAAACCTAATTTCATATAGATAACAATAACCATAACATGGGAAAATAGTGTAAAGTTTCATAAGATACTAATCGCAACGCAATCATAGTCGCCTCGACATGGCCGCATTTCGCAACAGTAGGTGTACAGGTTATACAACAACGAGGATATAGGCCCAGACAGCCACACAATGGAACAGAAACAAAGGGGAAACACTGCTGCACGGTTTGCGTGGGCAGAGGTGCAATATCCAGCGCGAACAAGCCCCCTCGACTAACACCCCGAACCATGTTGAAACAGCCAAGCCTGGGACTCGGTCGAGCACGGAGAATTTGCCACGTACGCTGCCACACCTACCCAGAATCAACAGCACAGAACCTTCCAGGCCAAACCCAACCATCAACACTCACGGAAACCTCTACCTCCTGTCCAAGGCAAACGCCCCGGGCTGTACCTGCCTGACTCAGGATTTTTCTGATGGTGGGACTTCAAGGCGAGGACTTCCTGCTCTCCAACACCGCGTGGGACGAGATCTCCAACGACCGGTCCGCGGGCCACGTGGAGATTAGGTACCGCGGCGTGGACTGCCCAAACAACGGCAGGATCGTGGTTAAGATCATGCCCGGCAGCAACCCGTACTAGTTCGCGATCCAGGTCATAGGAGCGGCCGGCGCGGGCGGCGTGGATCTGCTGGAATTATCAACGGATGGCGAGAATTGGACGAGCATGAGCCAGCTGGGGAATAGCGCCACGTGGACCCTAAATCCCGCGAAGGATGTCGTCGACGTGGGCGTGGCAGTGAATCTGCGCGTGACTCCGGTGGGAGGCGCGCAGCAGCCGCTGGTGTGGACCAGTGCGATTCCCGTCGGGTGGAGCGGGGGAACGACCTACCATGCGGACGGCAACTTCTAGACGTCTCATCAGCAGAGTCCAACGAGGCGTGCTCATTGGTAGTCGTGGCTCTCCCGTGCACCGCAGATGCGGATTCAGCATTGCGGTGGCGACGGGTATCAGACTCCGAAATAAATGCGATGATGGTGCGGAATAGTCGAATAAAAAGTGTCCGCGTTGTGGTTCAGTGCCTGATCGGCACCTCGCCCTACAAGTCTAGTTTCTGTTGCGTTCATTGCCCTCGCATGTGTTCGAAATGTTCGATTCCTATCTTCAATAAACGTGATCCTAGTGATAGAAGAAGCCTGAATAGTGTACGGCCACAACCACAGAGGAGCCCTTAACCCTGGACTGTTGCGAACATACGGTGCTCAGGGAAATAGCGAGGAGATGTGAAAAACCTGTGCTGTTGCGAACATACGGTGCTGAGGGAAAGAGCGAGGAGATTGGGAAAACCTGTGATTGACGAGAAGGACACGAGTAGAGGAAGGGGAGGGGATGGCTGTTGAGTTGGGCAGAAATGAGCCATCACCATATCTCCTTGTCACCCGAGGAGAGAGGGCTGGCGTATTGCTAGTAGACGGGGGAGAGGAGAAGATTCATTGCGAAGGCGTGTTTCTAAGTGACGAAATGCCACGCTTCTTCGTTTCAAAGCTGTAGCGGATGGCAAACTTGACGTGCAAAATCCTGAATGACACAATGCAGCCTGACAGGGAGTGGGCGCGAAGGGAGGGCGGAGGGAAGCCCAATGGGGGAGGTGTGAGCTGAGGGGGTGCCAAAAAAAGTTGGAGCCCAGGCATCGCACAAAACGGATGGCTGGTCAACCTCACGGACCAGGCACGCGGTAAAACCTCTCAACCCAACCCAACCAGGAAGCGTAACCTTCCCACCAAGACCAGCCAAACAGGTAAGCCTTTCCACTTATTCTAACCACTTAGATTAACCTCGTCACCCAAACCAACCACGCAGCCAATCTTTCCGCCCAAACCACACACACACCCCCCAACTTCAAACGAATTTTGCACTTGATTTGACAATTTCGAGGCACCTAACTAAATGCGCCTTTCGCTAGGCGCCATCCGAACGGCGCCTTTCGATAGGCGACTTCCGCCAGGCGCATTTCGTTTGGCGCCTTTGATCGGCGCCTTTCGTTAGGCGCCTTTCTATTGGGGCCTTTCTATAGGTGCTTTTCGTTAGGCGCCATTCGGTCAGCGCCTTTCGTTAGGCGCCATTCGATCGGCGCCTTTCGTTAGGCGCCTTCGATCGGCGCCTTTCGGTAGACGCCATTCGTTTGGCTGCTTCAGGTCACCGCATCCCCTTGTCCTTCATAAGACTCCCTCCGCATCCCTTCGCATCCCTTTGCACCGCACCCAACCATTCCGCCCCTTATTGCTCCTGCGCGGGGGTCACGACCACAGCTGGTCACCCAGCAGCATCCCTTTGCACCGCATCCAACCAAATTCCGCCCCTCGTTGCTCTCCTGCCTCTGTCTCCGTCTTCCCTCTCGTGCCTTCAAGTGCGCAAGGAGAGCAAGGGGGATCACGGCTGCCCTCCCTCTTCTGAGCAATGCAGTCTTTCCCGTTTCTTCCACATCCTGCAGCATCCCTTCACACCCAGCACCATCCCTTGATAAGACCCCATTGCCTCTGTCCCTGTTCCCGTCCGTCCCTTCGGGTATGTGAGGAGAGCAAGGCCAGCCGCGATCGCAGCAGGGCCTCCTCTCCTGCCTTTTGGCCTGCCGCAACCGTCCCGTCAGGTGCGTGAGCAGAGCAAGACTGGTCGCGATCGCAGCAAGTCACCAGGTCGCCGTGGAGCGATCCCGCTCTCGCTCCCATTCGAGCTCGCGCTCCGCTTCCGGTTCACACTCGCGGTCTCGCTCCAAGTCCAAGTCTCGCTCGCGCTCGCGATGTGTACGTGGAATTCAGTGGCGCTTCAGGTTTGACCGATGCGCAAGGTATTGAATCTTTCCCTCTCGCTGCACTTCTGGTTCGAGCTCGCGATCTCACTCCATCTCCGGGCCTCGCTCGCACTCGCCATCGCTATGTCAAGTCACATGCCGCTCAAGGTTTCCTGCTGCAGAGGCATAAGCGGAAGCAAGCAAGTAAGCAAGCTAAGCAGGTGGCGCGTGGCTGTTGAGTCGCCTCATCTCTTTGCTACCTCCCCCCTCCTACCTGTCCTGCTATCCCTCGTGCTATCCCTTAACCCCCTGCTATCCCCCCTGCTATCCGCCCTGCTATCCCCCCTGCTATCCCCCTGCTATCCCCCCTGCTACCCCCCTGCTATCCCCCCTGCTATCCCCCCTGCTATCCCCCCTGCTATCCCCCCTGCTATCCCCCTGCTATCCCCTCTGCTATCCCCCCTGCTATCCCCCCTGCTATCCCCCCTGATATCCCCCCTGCTTTCCCTCCTGCTATCCCCCCTGCTATCCCCCCTGCTATCCCCCTGCCATCCCCCCTGCTATCCCCCCTGCTATCCCCCCTGCTATCCCCCCTGCTATCCCCCCTGCTATCCCCCTGCCATCCCCCCTGCCATCCCCCCTGCTATCCCCCCTGCCATCCCCCCTGCCATCCCCCCTGCTATCCCCCCTGCTATCCCCCCTGCTATCCCCCTGTCATCCCCCCTGCTATCCCCCCTGCTATCCCCCCTGCTATCCCCCCTGCCATCCCCCCTGCTATCCCCCTTGCCATCCCCCCTGCCATCCCCCCTGCTATCCCCCCTGCCATCCCCCCTGCTATCCCCCTTCTCGTGCTATCTTCTGTACCCCCCCTCCCCTTCTCCTGCCGTCGTCTGTTCCCCCCCTCCCCTTCTGTCTTCTGTTTCTACCTGACAGTTCACGGACCCGCGTGATGCGGAAGACGCCACTAGGGGCAGGGACGGCTACGACTTGGACGGCCACAGGCTGCGCATGGAGCTGGCGCATGGCGGGCACGGCTCTCATCCTCTCTCCTCCCCCCTGCTAACTTCTGTCCGCCCGCTTGCCAGTTCGCGGACCCCAGGGATGCGGAGGACGCTATAAGAGAGCTGGCCATGACTTGGACGGCCACAGGCTGCTAGTGGAGCTGGCGCATGGGGGCCGCGGAGGTGGCAGCTTCGGGGATCGCCGGGGGGACTTCCAGCTGTGCGGGGGTGGGCCGTCTTGCAGGACTTAGTACCGCGGTGCGTTGGTTGGAGGCATGTCGGTCGGTGCATGGGATGGTGATGAGACAGCTTCGGTGGTGGCTGGTGGGATTCCCAGCCGCAAGGGGGCGGGCCGTCTTGCAGGACTGAGTACCGCGGTGCGCTGTTTCTCTCCTTTTCCCATCCGTGCAATGCCCCTCCATCCCCACTTTGCGCTTCTCCCTCTCACCCGCTCCCCGCGTTGCGTCTCCCTTCCCTTCCTCTCTGTCTGCTCACCGGACTCTCAGGACCACATGCGCGCGTGTGCTTCGCGCAGGTCTTCAAGGAGAGCAACGGTAGGTGGGGATGGTGGAGGGATGTGATAGGTGTGGCGTGGACGCATGGCATGGCATGGTGTGGTGTGACATGGCGTGGTGTTGCATGGCGTGGCATGGCGTGGCGTGGCGTGGCGTGGCGTGGCGCGGCATGGTGTGGACAAATAGCGTGCACACAGGGCTTTGTACAACCTTGTACAGTTGGTATGCCATTAGGTCCGTGACATTTTACTCCATATAATACTCCAAGGTCCGGATTTTGATAAGATCCACCACGATGTACTCCGTCTGTTCGGTATACATCTACTGTTAGACTTCGCTAAAAAAGCGCAAAAGAACGTAGTGACCAATCACGACAGTCGCATAATGCCACCGACCATCGATTCGCGCCACCCGAATTGGGTGCGATCGCAGTCTGCGAGCGTCGCCAACCAACCCGCGAGTGCGAGCTCGGAAATTCCCCGTGAATTGTGTTTGGAATTGCCTGGCCAATACGCGCTTGCCAGGGCGATCCAACGCAAGCACAACGGACCGGGGGGGCGAACACAAAATCATAGACCCCCGCCCACCTGGCTCTTTTGCATGCGCGCTGACATGGGCATGAATCAGTGCCCCCTTTTCATCCATTATTTCTTATTATTACGGCCCTATTCTAATCCTCGTGTCAAGAGCATTTGATGCATTTTCCATATTTTAGAACCAATCACGTAAATTTTCAGGCTTCCCGCGTGACACAATCATGTCCGTTACGAATACGAAAACACGACCCACGGTCCCTCAATCACCATTAACAACTGCACATTTCGAAAAGGGTTTTCCTCAAGGGGTTTTTTTCACTATCGTTAAAACGTGTGACTGGTTAACGAAACCGCTCAATTCAGTCGTCAAAATTTCTTTTTTTTAAGCCCTTTTCGTGAGACCACGAAAAGGGTTTTCCAAATTATTTGATTTGCGCGTTTTGAGCCTGCGTTGCTTGCGGGCAGATCGAGAACGAGGTGTTACTTCTTTTGTCCGCGATAATTTTGACCAGACGACAAATTCGCTGAGCGTTTTTTAAGAAGCCACATGAGCCCTCACATGACACGCGGCGAAATCGTTGGTAACCTGGCCCATTGGCCAATATGCCAAGGCACCCATCGTGAACAGAACGAGTCAAACGGCTTACACCACCCCACCTAAAACCACTCGTGCTACTCGATTATCCATTTTGCCCGTTGTGAACCGCTCTTATTCGTCGTAGTCAATATTTGCGAGTTGCGGATTTGGAGCAAAGAGCATACCCGCTGTACAACCTTTCAGTCAAGCAAGCATCCAGAGGGTTTTCAGCTGTGTTTCTAGTTGAGTAAGCATCCAGAGCATCCCTGTTTTCAAGTGACCCTAGTTCAGCCTGGCGTATTTCTAACTGGCCCGTAAAATCCATTCTTGAGGGGTTAGCGGCAGGCGAGCAGCAATTTCGCCGACGTCGGAGAAGTGAGCTCCAATAATTGCTCAGGTTCCAGGTAGCTCTTTTAGGCAATTCAACGTTCTCCAAAAATCGTCTTGCTCTGAATCCATGTAGTTCGAGAAAGCCGCCCAACAGTGCGGCTCGAATTTTGTCAATCCGACAACGTTACATGATGGATAGGCAACAATAATCATTCTCCTCCTGCAAATTGGCCCATATTTCCATCTTCAGAGCAGCCCCACCCAACCACCAAAGCGCCTCGGACTTGGATGCGTTCCAGATGGCATTTCGAAAGTGCTAGTCCCTCGCTACTTCGCAGTATTTAAAGCCGTTGACCCGAATTGCAGAAATTTCGTTTCAAGTTTATTAATCTTGAACCCCCACGATTGGTAACTTACTATAGTTCCGCAAAGCGAGAGCAGAACCCACTATCGCATGCCAAAAGGTCGGGAAACAATTGACACGCGTGCGCCACCCCTTGCCGATTCCGCCCCTGCCCCAGACACACAAAGCTTTTGGGCGGAAGGAAACTTGAAACTGCGCGCATACATTTTGGGACTTTCCATGTGCATAACCCAGCCCAGCGCCAACACACTGAAGGCAGTGTATGCACCACACACAGCTGACCTGCCTTTCACGAAGTGTCCAAGACACAGGACCTCGATTTACTCCGAATACTTCCCACCCCTGAAAGCCAGACTCACGACAACAGGCCCTGCATTAGCATTCCCGCGACTGCCAAATCGCACCGTCAAATTGCACCGTCTAATCGCACCATCAAACCGCACTGTCAAATCGCACCGTCAAGTCGCATCGTTTCAAACACCCGCTTTTCTTAGCAATTTCAACCCGCGGGCCAGAAAACAACGTCGCCTAAATCCGCGCCAGTATCAGCCCGGCATCCAGCAGCAAAAACCGAAGGAATCAGCTCGAGCAGTGCGACGAGGGAGTTAGGGTTAGTAAACGGCAAGAAAGGTACCCCTTGCACATGCGGCTTCATTACCCAAGGCAGCGTGTGAGGGCCGTGGGTCAGCCGCCATGCGCCTTCTCCCTCCCACGCATGCATTTCTTGCTTTTTCCGAGCCGTCAGTTCTCATTCTCACTAGTGCTTTTCAGTCTACCAGATGGTGCCTTTGCATGTGTGTAGCTCGTAATGCAAATCAGATTTCCAGATTGCTCGTTTCGGGTTTACTCCAAGCATCTCCTTCCCCCACTGCCTTCTCTCCCCATCCGCCTCCCTTGTCGCAGGGCGTTTGAGGGCCGCAACAGCGGGAATCAGAACAGAGGAGCAGAGGAGCAGCGGATCAAGAGAGCATGGGACCACGGGAGCATGGGAGCAGGGGAGCAAGGGAGCATGGGAGCATGGGAGCATGGGAGCATGGGAACAAGGGAGCAAGGGAGCATGGGAGCATGGGAGCAAGGGAGCATGGGAGCATGGGAGCATGGGAGCAGGGGAGCAAGGGAGCATGGGAGCATGGGAGCATGGGAGCATGGGAGCACGGGAGCATGGGAGCATGGGAGCATGGGGAGCATGGGGAGCATGGGAGAATGGGAGAATGGGAGAATGGGAGCATGGGAGCAGGGGAGCATGGGAGCATGGGGAACATGGGAGCATGGGAGCATTGACAACATGGAGAGCCCGAGAGAATGGGGAGCATGGGAGCATGGGAGCATTGACAGCATGGAGAGCCCGAGAGCATGGGGAGCATGGGAGCATGGGATCAGGGGAGCATGGGAGCATGGGAGCATGGGGGCATTGACAGCATGGAGAGCTCGAGAGAATGGGGAGCATGGGAGCATGGAAACATGGGAGCAGGGGAGCATGGGAGCATAGGAGCATTGACAGCATGGAGAGCCCGAAAGCATGGGGAGCATGCTTGCAAGGGAGCATGGGAGCATGGGAGCATGGGAGCATGGGAGCATGGGATCAGGGGAGCATGGGGAGCAGGGGAGCATCGGAGCATGGGAGCATGGGAGCATTGACAGCATGGAGAGCTTGAGAGCATGGGGAGCATGGGAGGCATGGGATCATGGGAGCATTGGAGCATGGGAGCATGGGAGCATGGGAGCATTGACAGCATGGAGAGCCAGAGATATGGGGAGCATGGGAGCGTGGGATCAGGGGAGCATGGGAGCAGGGGAGCAGGGGAGCATGAGACCATGGGAGCAGGGGAGCAGGGGAGCAGGGGAGCATGGGAGCATGGGAGCATGGGAGCGGGAGCAAGGGAGCATAGGAGCAGGGGAGCATGGGAGCACTAGAGCATGGGAGCATGGGAGCATAGGATCAGGGGACCATGGGAGCATGGGAGCATTGACAGCATGGAGAGCCCGAGAGCATGGGGAGCATGCTCGCAAGGGAGCATGGGATCATGTGTGAGGATGTATGTGGGCCAGGCTTTTTTGTGGTGGTCTAGTGTTCCTTCTTCGGACTGGACCATATTTCCTTGCTTTTTGCACACTAATCACAGTGCCAGTACATGCCTCATTCAGGCAATGCAATCACAGGGTGGCAAGCTCTGCGAGCATGTGCTTCGCCTCCATTAGACATATCCGGTTTACTGGGACATCGTTAATGGATGGGCTTGCTGATCATCCCCTGGGAACCGGCACAGCCTTGCTCGCTTAGATGGTTTGGTTAAGCCAGACCTGCAGAACAGGGGCAGGAGAGACATGTTGGTTGAACCTACGGAAAGCATGCTTCTTCCATCCATGAAGTACAGAAGCCAACCTTAATTCTTACAGATCGGACAATCGCGTCGCATCATCAACAGCCCCGCATGTACGGCTGGCAGGGCTAGCCGGTGCCAACGTTCCAGGCTGCACTCCCAGGTTGACGGAAGCCCCGGCACAAGGAGCCAAGCTCTGCTCTTTGGGGCCTGCCACCCATGCATGGGTTGGTTTGGATAAGGGTTTGTATTTCCGAGGGTGATCATGTGGTACGACTCGGCTTCCGCCCCCTTCGTTGTGTGGGGGCCTTGTTCGCGCATCGAGGAAGCTACCATTGTACCCCTTTGTTGGTCTACAACCCGTACCCCTTCTCACCTTTTTCACATTGCTTCTCAAACGTCTTCCCTCTTGGGGCCCCGCCCCATCCGCATCCATGCGTAGGCCGTAGTTTCATGGATACGGATGGATGCCCTCTTCGTGCCCCATCCATGGATGCGGATGGGCCCCGCCCCTTCGTGCCCTCTTCGTAGGCAGGAAAATAAAAGGTCAGCCCATTCAACTGGCGGTCCGTGCCCAGCCCTAGTGTCAAACTCCTTCCCATACGCCTCTAGGTGCTGCTCCGCCTTGGCTCGAGCATCACCTCCATGCGCACCTAGGTGGATCAACGGGCACACACAATGGGCAGTGGATGGGATTTTGGGGGGGCATGGACGCACAAGCTTGGCTGGCAAACCCGCATGAAAGAACATCCCCTGCTTACCTGCCTTGGAGCCTGCACGCATTAGTTGCTGGTGCGCCTTCTCGGAGTTCATCATATAGTAGCAGAGCAAGTCCGCCATTGTCGCCCTCTTTGCCCCCTGCATGAGCGCCGACAGTTCGCCCAGCTGGAGACAAACAGCTGGCCTCACGTTCTTAGAAACACCGTGCATGGCCGCGTCATGTGTTTCGCCCAGTGCTGCTGCTGGATTGTCCTTGTTTGGGTCCGCTGGAGCCCGGCCCCTGTTGGGTGATGGTTGGGGCTTGGAGGTCAACCGTGGCAGGTTTGGGAGTAGGTGCTGAAAGGGGTGACATGGGGTGGCTTTGTTGGGGACACTTCTGTCCCACCTCACCTCTCAGCTTCCCCCCTGACTCACCTCCCTGTTGCCCATTGCAACGCCTCTCATTTTCCACCCTGACACTCGTCCCTGCTGCCCATTGTGTCGCCTCTCAGCTTCCCCCCTGACTCACCTCCTTGCTGCTCATTGTGTAGCCTCTCAGTTTCCCCCCTGAACCACCTCCCAGCTGCCCATTGTGTCGCCTCTCCTCTCTGCTCTCCCCTTCCTCTCTTCTCGGCTGTCCCCTTCTTCTCCTCTCGACTCTCCCCTTCCTCTCCTCTCAGCTCCCCCCCTCCACTCCTCTCATCTCGGCTCTCCCTTTCCTCTCCTCTCTGCTCTTCCCCTACTCTCCTCTCGGCTCTCCCCTACCCCTCCTCTAAGCTCTCCCCTTCCTCTCATCTCTGCACCTCCCTTCCTCCTCTCAGCTTTCCCCTTCCTCACTTCTCGGCTCTCCCTTTCCTTTCCTCTCGGCTCTCCCCTTCCTCTCTTCACGGCTTTCCCCTTTCTCTCCGCCCCAGCTCTCCCCTGCATCTCCTCTCAGCTCTCACCTGCTTGTCCTCTCGGCTTCCCCCTTCCTCTCCTCTCGGCTCTCCCTTTCCTCTCCCCTTGGCTCCCCCATTCCTCTCCTCTCTTATCGGCTCTCACCTTCCTCTCTTCTCGGCTCTCCCCTTCCTCTCCTCTTTGCTCTCCCCTTCCTCCCCTTTCTCTCCTCTCGACTCTCCCCTTCCTCTCCTCTCTCCTCTCCTCACGTTTTGTTCTTTGGACTTTGTTGTATGGTAATGTGGCGTCACGACGCCCGGCTTGCTTTGGCGTTGGGACCCAACGTGTGCGTCGCTTAACAACGCGCGCATGTGTGGTTCCCGCCGCGCTAGTATCTGCTCTCCCTCGGTGTGCGTCTCGCCTTTCTCGTGTTTTCTTCTTCTTCTTCTTCTTCTTCTTCTTCTTCTTCTTCTTCTTCTTCTTCTTCTTCTTCTTCTTCTTCTTCTTCTTCTTCTTCTTCTTCTTCTTCTTCTTCTTCTTCTTCTTCTTCTTCTTCTTCTTCTTCTTCTTCTTCTTCTTCTTCTCCTTCTTCTTTCTTCTTTTTTCGATCCTCCTTTCGTGCGCAACCCCTGCCCTTTTTTGCGCGTGCTGCTAGAGCACCCCGGGTCTATACACTCACTTGTCGCCTGCCTGTCTTTGTCGCTTGCGGGCCATGAGCTGTACGGCCTCCAATGCGTGCTGTCCACGTGGACTCGCGCGTCGTGCTGCACTCCCGCAGCCTTTTCCGCGGCTGTCGAGTTTATTACGCGCTCCGATAGTGTCGTCTATCGTTGGTTGCCGCTAATATTGGTTTCTACTGCTGTCTGATGCCCTTAGTTGTGGGTACCATTGCTGTTGTCTGCTGGAGTATTGCGTGGTGGCATTGTGCGCTCAGCTTGGGTCACCTTGCCTTGTGTCGATTCCCTTCTACCAGTGCAAGTGTTGCTGTTCTCAGGTCGTGTCCCGCGAATGCATTTTCCGCCAGTACGAGGGAGGGTACATTGCGACACAAAAATGTGACGCTGTACCCAAAAGTGCAAACGTGCGGGATTCATTTCCCAAATCACTGCTGTGTCCCCCTGGGCTTTTCGTTACGTGCTTGCGATTGTCGTTCGGAGCAGGCGAAACCGCGTGAGTTGCCGGGATCCAATGGCTGGCTGCCATTTTTATGTTCTCGAGTTGTTTCGGGAACTTCGTGAAGTGTTCACAGGGTGTGCCGCGCCTAGTGCGAGTCTGTTTCGGGTGTGCTCAGGTAAGCTGGCATGATTACAATACAAAACGGTGAGAATTGTACCTTGTTTTGTAGTGTAAACGCACATGCGGGACACGCCCCTAGCCGCTCTTGTCCGTGTGCTTGGTAGCTTCTCCATCGCCTCTGCTGGTTGGCACGTTACGTCCCCCCCCCCCTCTTAGTGTTTTGGGCGCCCCTTCTTCCACGTTTCCGCTCATGTAACTCCCCCTTGTTTTTGTCTTTTTTTGCTCTTGGTTGTGCCATCTTGGCTTTCCCTCATTCCGATTGGTTGTATTGTTGCGGCCTTCTGTGCAATTGTCGCGTGGGGAGTTTGCTATTTTGCTAGCATTATCATGCAGTTGGCTACCAGCCACCATTTCCGGCAAGGGAAATATGAGAGTTCGTGCACCCCCACGAGAACTCACGAGAACACATGCACCATAACCTCAATTTGCGCCACTACCATAAATGTACAGCCACGTCATCATTTAGCGCCAACAGTTGAAGCAAGTGACGAACACTGCATCCTACCAATTGGGCTTTGAAACCATGTGCAGAAATATACGTATTGTTTCAGCGGATTTGATACGGACAGCCGACAACTTGCCCGCCAGGTGCTTGACAACTCCCAACTGCTAGAAACGCGAAAGGCGAAAACCCGTCGAAGCTGCCCAAAAGACCTCACGTAATCAAAAACGCATTTCCCGACTCGCGCGTAGAAAATGTTTATCCGAGTTCGGGGTTGCCCGGGCCGTGAGTGTAAGGAATTCCGATTCTTTACAGGGACTCGCCACAGCGAGTACTACGAACAGTGCGGGTCCGCAGGCTCGGCCCTGGGTTATCGCGCCAAACCAGCCCCCAACGACCTTTTCGGCCCCAGCCTGACCCCGAATCGCTACGAGCCCGTTTTGAGCCCGTCACCCTCGGACTGTCGAGCCCTTGACTGGTCCAACCCTCGACATTTCGACCTGGTCAACTCGCACTATATAAGCCCTAGGTCTCATTATTCAGGAGGACTCTGGAATCACGTTCCCCTATAGTATTCTGCGCTATACTCTAAGTTATAATTCATAACAGCTGGTATCAGAGCCCCGATTCTGCCCATCTAGTTTCCGATAGGGGAGCAGACCCTATCGGGGAAGGGGGCGGAAGGATGCTGATGGCGAGCGCACGTCGAGGAAATTAATTGCGCGGGCGTTGCCGATGCCGTCAGATCTTGTCCGATGGACGGCAGGGATTGGCCGGTCCTCACCTTCCCCGGGCGTAGACGGGATTATTTCCTGTCGAATAGGTGGCGACGTTTTCGCCGTGTTTTACGGGTATGTTCGTTAGTGTTTCGAAATTTCGGGAGTTTCTAGCGAAGTGTTCGGATTGGCTTCCGAAAATAGCGAGGAGTCGTCGAGCGGCCTGGAAATGGTCGTCGCGAGGAGACAAGTGCTCGGGAGTCCTCAGGCGACCGGGAGATGGTCGTCAGGAACGTGCGGGGTGGCGAAAATGGCGGGACGCACCGCGATGGGCGTTTGTCGTGCCATGTAGCTGCATGGTGAAATGCAGTTGCGTCGCTGGCGTCGGCGTTTCCGGCAGGCTAGTTGCAGGCGATGGACGGGACTTCGACACTATTTCGGCAATGGGCGGATCCGACAATTTCGGAACGACAAGATCGCACGAAGCACGTGTGGGTGTGCAGTTGTGTGGGAGCCGTTGGGATTAACGACCTCGGCGCTATTCACACAACGGCCATTTGGAGGAGATGACGCTGTGCTGGAGTGAGTGTACTCAGCGAGGGCGACTTCCCTCGTGGGGAGGCGTTTTTCGCGGACCAGCGATTCATACCCCCACGATCAACGGAAACGGAGGCCACCACCCCTGGGTGTGTATTAAGTGTTCTTCCACCGGTCGCCGAATGCGTTACCTGTCAGGAGCTAAGCAGTGGGAGAAGAACGACGGGAGTAGTGGAGCAGACGGGTTAGCGGCGTTCGGGCTACTACTCGCTCAGCTACGTCGCCCGGAAATCACCTTTCCCACCAGGTAGCAGTGTCGACTTGTTCATCGACGACTCTTGGATGAATAAAGGGGGTGAACCTGCAAACTACACTGTGCTGATGGAGTGTCCCTGAAGAAGAAAACGAAATAAAGGGAGTTACTGTTGCAGTGGAGCTGAGGGAGTTTACGTGGTGCGGCAAAAGGAGGTTCCGCCTTTTGCGGGTGTAGTTCGACGAGTTTCCGACGGAGGCGGGAGCGGTCCAGCGGTCAGTAGGCGAGCTCGTTAAAGCTCCTCTGACTAGAAGCGTGCGCACTCCTATCTCTGCGGATTCTCCTAGTTAGTTAAGCAGCAGCCGCGAGATGGGTGAACGTCTGCGCCGCTAGCGGGCAGGGGTACCAGAGTATTTGAACATTGGGTAGCAGCTGGGCGGAGATCGACGGCGTATGATGCGCATTGACCCTGATCGACGGCCAAAACATCATGCCGAGGCGGTGGACTCTGGTTAACCCTACGATAAAGGGTTCAGTCCATGCGTACAGCTGGTGGAGAAACCGTGGAGAGCGCTGCTAAAGGACGTTGTGTCGCCTGGGCATTTTTACGGATAGTTGTGAAGCGGAGTTACGGTATCTACTAAGTACTGCGTGGTTCTGACATTTTCGGAGAGTTTGTGCAGCGGTTCGAGCGTTTACAGCTGGAGTTGTGCCCGCTATCTTCAGGGGTACGAGCGACATCGACCGAAATTTGCGGAGTGTTTTGGTTATATGGAGCAGAAAGGGAGCAGCGGCAGTTTCGGTTCTTCCCGAAATTTTCGGCATGTACGGACAAAAAGGCGGATGCAGCTGGTGTTATTTGAAATCGGGTTGTGTTCGAAAATATTCACGGGAGTAGTTCGGTACAGGTTACTGGTCATCGCTTTCGTCGTCAGCCTCTCGCCCCTATTTTCAATTCGCCAGCCAAACTGAACACGACCGCGCCGCATCCTCGCCACCCATCAGGAGCAGTACAAAAACGAGAAGATTTTGCTGGAGTACTGTGGAGCTGTGTTGGGGCCAGCTCGCCGGGAGTGTTTACATTCTGGAGAAAAAAAAAATCCGTGTGGGAGTCTTCTGGAGCAGTATTTGCGGAATTTCATGACCTGTGAAGCGGTTCACCCTACGGAGACGTTTCACGTTTGGAGCCTCCTTTGGTACTTCTATCGATTGGAGTTTTGCAGCAGCATCCTGGAAGCTGAGTTCTGGGGTTTTCAGCAGCAGTTCGGGCGTATTTCGATGCCCCCGGAACTTTGGGTTTTATGAAGTTTTACCTGGGAGATTGGGAGCTGTTTTCTTTTGAAGAGGGGAGAAGGGCAGCTGTGCTGCAATTTTCCGACGACTTTCTGGCGTGTTCCGTTAATTATTTGCGACCGACATTCGTCATCGTTACGCTTCTGCGCCTGATTTCGTCACTTCGTTGATGGAGTTCGCTGACTTTCATGGGACAAGGACGCGTGCGCTCGCAAGTGACTCGAACGACCTCGCATTTGACGAATGGGTTCTTCATTTCATTGACCACCACGTTATTCGCCCGTCATCATTTCAAGAAATTCGACGGACATGCACCATCATCAATCGGTTTCACTGTTCACTGTCTTTCCGCTGGAGTATTTACCCTTGCCCGTTTGGCCACCAAAAGAATTCGACCATCTCCGACGGCGGCGATTAAAAGCGATCGTTTCGACGCTTTCTGACCATCGATTTGAGTTCGACCTCAAGACCTCGTCAGGCCGGCGTAATCATTACGCTCGTCACAAGGCTGAAGACTTACCGTCATTTCGGGGATTAAATTAGATAAAGGTTCGACCTCCATAAAGGGAGGGCTTTCCTTTAGAAGGGGGGAGAGTGTAAGGAATTCCGATTCCTTACAGGGACTCGCCACAGCGAGTACTGCGAACAGCGCGGGTCCGCAGGCTCGGCCCTGGTTTTTCGCGCCAAACCAGCCCCCGACGACCTTTTCGGCCCCAGCCTGACCCCGAATCGCCCCGAGCCCGTTTTGACCCCGTCACCCTCGGACTGTCGAGCCCTTGACTGGTCCAACCCTCGACATTTTGACCTGGTTAACTCGCACTATATAAGCCCTAGGTCTCATTATTCAGGAGGACTCTGGAATCACGTTCCCCTATAGTATTCTGCGCTATACTCTAAGTTATAATTCATAACAGTGAGCAAAACGGGTAGAAAATGTTAATTGACGACGCGGTCTCTGCCAGTTGCCAGGTTCAGCGCGGGAATGCCTGATGGGCAATCCCCGTACGCCGCTCGTCAGGTCACTGCGAGGCCGACGCGTGGAAGAGGAGGACACCACCAATTTTGATTCACATCACGAATCACACCATCCAGACGGACTCCGTCAATCATTCAGTGAGATTCAGATGCAGGAACACCAACAGACAGATGCCGTCAAATGCCTGCTAGAAAAGCTGTAGCGCGGAAAGGAAGTGCATTTCTAGCGAAAATGAGGTCGTCCGCGTAATTGCGTCGAGCGAATCTGATATTTCGCGGCTTGCGACGCGAGCCTGATCTCTGATAAGGCGAAGGCTCCTGGACGTCGCGTCACTGGAAAGGCTTGGATCACTCTCTAACATATATTTCGCTAGTAGCGTTAAGACGAAGCTCGTTTAACGAGCGACGCGCTGTGGCTGACTGACTTTGCTGATACAGCGGTCAACGGATTCGGAGGTCAGTTGACCCTTGGCGGATGCCGCTTAGGTCTTCACATGGCGCGGTTGACAACGCCGCTCGATTTTTAGAATTCACGAACAAATCGAGCGGTTGACATTGTCGCTAGTCCGTTTGATCCGTGGGACGCCGCCTCGTGCGACGGTGCTTCGTGGCTTACCGCGTGCGAACGTGGTCTGCCAGAGCACGGTGCTGATAGCTGCGTGGCCGTCGCAGTGCGACTATGGTCCGTCGCAGTGCGATCATGGCTCACACGACCGTTACTCTCATCCGGCCCATGTCCGCGCGACCGTTACTCCCTCCCCTACTCATGTCCGTGGCTACTAATAGTACCCTCCTACTCATCACGATGGCCGTTGCGCTCTCCCCAACACTCGTGCGAGCGGTCCCTTATCTTACGTCCCAGGGGGAGACGTTTCTGGAGGCCGTGCGAAACCTGTATCAGGTATGCTTGTATCGGGTCCTGTAGGCTCAGGCTCTGATCTAACGTCCCTGCATCACAACCTGTAGCAAGCGTGTGGTATAAGTTATAACCCTGCGTGTAACTTATATTGAATATTCTACACCACTCTTTACCGCCATCGGCCGTCTCCAGTCACCCCAATGCTCCCCTTCCCAACCAATCTCCCCCGTGCCCCCCGGGCCTCCCCACTTTCTCCCCGTTCCGTCCCCCCACCAGCATGAGGACAACTTGACAACCCCTTTCCGCCATCGCGCTTCCTTCCTCCCTTCCTCCCTTCCCCTTCCCGCAACCAGCATTGGGACAGCGCCTACGGGCTGCAGTGATAGCTCCTTTCGGCCTTCCGCCGGCTCCCCCCCTCCCTTCCCCCCGTCCCCCTTCCTCCCTTCCCCTTCCCGCAACCAGCATTGGGACAGTGCCTACGGGCTGCAGTGAATAGCTCCTTTAGACCTTCCGCCGTCTCCCCACCTCCCTTTCCCCCTTCCTCCCTTCCCATTCCCGCAACCAGCATTGGGACAGGGCCTACGGGCTGCAGTGATTAGCTCCTTTCTGCCTTCCGCCGTCTCCCCCCCTCCCTTACCCCCTTCCCCCCTTACCCCCTTCCCCCCTTCCCCCCTTCCCCCCTTCCCCTCTTTCCCCAACCAGCATTGGGACAGCGCCTATGGGCTGCAGGTGGAAAATCCGTTTCCCCCCCCCCGGCATCTACCTTCTCCCCTCCCGTCCTCCCCCTTCCCCCAACACACTCCTTGTCTCCCCCCCTCCCTTTCCCCCGTCCCCCAACCAGCATTGGGACAGCGCCTATGGGCTGCAGGTGGAAAATCCGTTCCCCCCCTCCGCCATCTCGCTCCCCCCTGAAGTCCCCCCCGCGCCCCACCTGGAGGACTGTGAGGCTCGCACAGCCTTCCGCCTCTCCACTGAGAAACGGGGGAATAAGGGGGGGCCGCCCTACTGGGCAGTACCCAACCCCGCTTGTGGGAACGTGCGCCAACCACCCTGGGTGAGAGTTTAGCCTTCTGGTTATTGCTGCGCGCCCAGCCTTCCGCCTGTCTACTGAGGCAAGGGGAAAGTGGTGGGGGACCGCCATTCTCGGCTATACCCAACCCCGTGTGTGGGAACGTGTGCCAACCAGCCTGGGTGAGTCAAGGTGTCTTGATCTCATGGGAAGGGGAACGAACGGGGGGGAAGAGGGGGGGACCACCCTACTGGGCAATACCCACCTCCGCTTGCGGCAACGTTCGACAACCACCCTGCTTGGTGAGTCTAGGTCTCTGCTGGGCCACGCGATGAGGCTCATAGGCATGCACAGTGGCAACGTGTGACACCCACCCTGGGGGAGAGTTAAAAGCCTCCCTGGGGGAGAGTTAAAAGCCTCCCTGGGGGATAGTTAAGAGCCTCTCTGGGTGAGCCCGAGGCTACCCGGGTGTGAGTCAAGTCAAGAGTCTCTCCGTGCAGTCATGAGCAGGCTGCCGTCTTTGGCCTGTGCTCACACCGTCAGGAAATCGTCGTCTTTTTCACAACCATCCAAGATTTAACGAGCATACATCACCACCACCACCACCCCCTGGCACCACTGTTCAAGACCTCGTCGTTTTACATTAGCATTCTCCTCCTCCGTACCCACCTCCCCCCACCTCCAGATCCGTGGCTCGGATGCTGCCAACTGGCACCACAATTCAAGACTTATAACAAGTATTTGATGTAGTCTTTTCCTCCCCCCTGCCCACCTCCCCCCTTCCAGATCCGTGGCTCGGATGCTGCCAACTTGGCAGCCACCCGAGAGGCACAAGCTGATATATGGCACCACCAGTTCCCGCCCAATGGGTGCAAGGGGCGGCGGCTGGTGCTGGTGAAGTGGCTGACCATGGGGTGGCATGGAATAGGGTCGCAGCTGCATGTGCTGGGCGCCGTGCTGAGTGCTGCCATGGTGCACAAGAGGACGCTCGTCTTGATGCCGGGGACGCTGCCCCAAGCAGACCACGAGGAATGCGAGAGTGAGTGAGGGAGTGAGTGAGTGAGGGAGTGAGTGAGTGAAAAGTGAGTGGGGGAGGGAGTGAGAGAGTGAGGGAGTGAGTATGGGACTGAGTGAGTGAGTGAGTGAGTGAGTGAGGGAGTGAGTAAGGGAGCGAGCGTGGGGTGGCGTGGAATAGGGTCGCAGCTGCATGTGCTGGGAGCGGTGCTGAGTGGTGCCATGGTGCACAACAGGGATGCACATTGTCATTACAGCTGCATGTGCTGGGCTCCTCTTGGCGCCTGGGATGCCACAACTGGACGCCATCATCGTTGGTCCCCCCCTCCTCTTCATCTCCTCTTCATCTCCTCTTCATCTCCTCTTCATCTACTCTGAGTATGTTGTTGTAGTCTATATAGGGTTGTGCCTCAGAGAGTACAACTCACTAGGCTATATTCCCTTGTACTGTTTGTTGCTTCTCCCTCTGCTCGTTGGCTTCCCCCTCTGTTCGTTGCTTCTCCCTTGTTTACAGAGCTGGGGCACAAGGGCTCCCTCACCTGCTACTTCTTCCGCCTCTCATCCCCGGAGTGCGAGGATCTCACTCGGTGATACTGCTCCCCCCTACCCTTCTCCCTGTCTCCCTGTTTTCTCCCTGGCCTGGTACCTGATCAGAGCTGGGCCATAAGGGCTCCCTCTCCTGCTACTTCTTCCGCCTCTCATCCCAAGAATGCGAGGAGATTGTTCTGAGCCAGTGCTTTCCTTCTTTGCACTCGTTATTGGCAGAGCTGGGCCACAAGGGCTCCCTCACCTGCTACTTCTTCCGCCTCTCATCCCCGGAGTGCGAGGAGATCGCCCTGAAGGCGCATAAGGCGTGGAAAGACGCTGAGGCGAGGAAGCAGCACGCAGCAGCACAGAGAGAGGGGCAATGGGGAGGAGACGAAGGTTCAAAGGGAGAGGGGCAAGGGGGAGGAGACGAAGGTGCAAAGAGAAAGGAAGGGGGTCACGCAACTGGGGTGGAAGGGGAGGGTGGAGAGGCATCTGAAGAGGCGGAGGCGGGTGGTGAGGTGTCCAGCCAAGCAGGGGGGGGCAGTGGGAGGCGCCTGCAAGCAGAAAAGGACGCAAATGATGCTGATGATGGTAGTGGCGGCGGCAGCGGTGGCGGCAGTGGCGGCGGCGGTCGTGGTGCTGGTGGTGATGCTGGTGCTAGTGCTGGTGCTGGTGCAGGTGCTGCCGCTGCTGGTGCTGGTGCTACTTCTGGTGGTGCTGGTGGTGGCGATGGGTCGAATGGTGGTGGTGGAGAGGAGGCTGAAGGAGGTGGGGGAGTGGAGGAGGATGTGATTGTAGCGGAGCCATGTGACAATGCAGAGTGTCTGAAGAACTCCAACGCCCTTGTGGTCTTCTCGACACGGCCGGGATTCAACGTGGATGGAGGGGGGGACGTCATCTCCCAGCTCAATGCCACTGCTGCAGAGTGAGTGATGCATGTGTATGTGAGTGATGCATGTGCTAGTGCAAGTGGAGTTGATGTGCTTATAGTGGAGCCGGGACGTTATCCCAAGCTGAACGCCACTGCTGCAGAGGGAGTGATCCATGTGCTGGAAACAGCAATCTGCTAACCGACTGGGCTAGAAGGGCATGTTGGATTGGTGGATGGGTGAACATGTAGTGGCTCTGGGTCAGCCTAGTGGGCCATCTTCCAGGAGATCTCTGAGTCATCCTAGTGGCCCTTCACACACAGCAACACTGAGTGCATGTGCCAGTGGGGTTGATGTGCCAGTGGGGTTGATGTACCAGTGGGGTTGATGTGACTCAAGTGAAGCTGTGTGACACGCAGGGTATCTGCTCCGTCGCCCGAATGTTCGTCTCAACAAGGCCGGAGTATCTTTACCCTCCCTCCGCTCCCCCCAATCCCACCTCACCCTCCTGCTCCCCTCTCCTCTCCATCTGCAGCCTGTGGGGCAGGGCATACCCCCCTGCTCCCCTCCCCTTTCCGTCTCATGCCGCGGCCCCTAATGCCCCAACCCTTCCCTCACCTCCCTGCCTTCCATCTGCAGCCTGTGGGGCAGGGCATATCTGAAAAGCCTTCCCCCTTGCGAGGTTATGGGCCGCATGGGCGTGCACTCTCTAGGGCTCTAGCTCTTCTCGCTCCAACGCCCCTTATGTGCCAACCCCTCACCACCCGCTTTCGGTCTCCAGCCTGTGGGGCAAGGCATATCTGAAGAACCCGCTGCCCAACGAGGGCATGGGGCGCATGGGCGCTCACACACCAGCATGGGTCCTCTCCCACTCCATATCCCTCTGTGTTTCTCCCTCTCCTCTCCATCTCCAGTCTCTGGGGCAAGGCGTATCTGAAGAGCCCGCTGCCCAACGAGGTCATGGGGCGCATGGGTGCGCACTCCAATTTGTTCAGAAAGGTGAGATCTTGCTACAGCCAGGATGTCCAATTTCTTCAGGAAGGTCAGTTGCGCCACACTGTCCATCCATCCATGCACTCGAAGCGCTCTCTTCACAACGTAAGCTTTTTCTGCACTGGAGTCCAAGTTGTTCGGAAGGTAAGCTCTTGCTACAACCAGGATGTCCAAGTTGTTCGGAAGGTAAGCTCTTACTACAGCCGGGATGTCCAAGTTGTTCGGAAGTTAAGCTCTTGCTACAGCCGGGATGTCCAAGTTGTTCGGAAGGTAAGCTCTTGCTACAGCCGGGATGTCCAAGTTGTTCGGAAGGTAAGCTCTTGCTACAGCCGGGATGTCCAAGTTGTTCGGAAGGTAAGCTCTTGCTACAGCCGGGATGTCCAAGTTGTTCGGAAGGTAAGCTCTTGCTACAGCCGGGATGTCCAAGTTGTTCGGAAGGTAAGCTCTTGCTACAGCCAGGATGTCCAAGTTGTTCGGAAGGTAAGCTCTTGCTACAGCCGCGATATCCAAGTTGTTCGGAAGGTAAGCTATTGCTACAGCCGGGATGTCCAAGTTGTTCAGAAGGTAAGCTCTTGCTACAGCCATGATGTCCTTTGACTCGACTCAAAGGTGTTCTGGGCCATGCCCACGCTGCACTGGCTCACCAATTCTTGCTGCAATGCCCCACGTCCTGCCTGTGCCACAGTTTCAACTCGCGCACCACCACGTGTTCACGACTGCGCGGAAATTAACCAAAGCACGGCACGTCACACCCTCTGAGTCGACAAGGCGGAGCTCACTCAGCCATCTGTCCCTTCCCCCTTCCACCCAGGGCGGAGCCCCCTCTGCGTTGGCATGGCTCAACAAAGTCAGCTCGTGCACTGCAGGGCGCAGCTCACTCACACCTAGGGGCTCAACCCCACTTCCCCCTTTCCCCTTCCCCCTTCCCCCTTCCCCCGCTTCCTGCTGGCCACTTCCTCTTTCCCGCTTCCCCCTTGCCCCCCTTCCCGCTCCCAACTTCCCCCCACCCCTCCTTTCTCCGTCCCCCACTTCCCACTTCCCCCCACCTCCCCTTCCCCCTTCCGACCACCCCCTCTCCTTCCCTCCAGACGCACTGGTTTCACTCCAGACGCACTGGTTTCACTCCAGATGCACTGGTTTCACTCCAGACGCACTGGTTGCACTCCAGACGCACTGGTTTCACTCCAGATGCACTGGTGGCGAGCCCAGGCCCAGGCCACCAGGTTCATGCTGCGGTGGCCCACAGCGTACCTTTGCATCGTGTGTATCTCCCCCCCCACTCCTCCCCCCCATCCCACCCCCTCTCCTTCACTCCAGACGCACTGGTGGCGAGCCCAGGCCACGCGCTTCATGCTGCGGTGGCCCACGGCGTACCTGTGCCACATCATCAACCGCGAGAGGCACCACGTGTACGGCATGCAGGTGGCGCGGCAGGTGGTGGCCTCCCAGATGGAACAGCGAAACGTGGAGAAAGAGGCTCGGAGCCGCAGGAAGAGGCTCGCTGAGGTGCCTCGGAAGTTCTCGGAGCGCTCAGGGGGGTCAGGAGGGAAGGAGGTTGGGAGGGGGAGGAGGGTGGAAGAGGGTGGGGCTGATGGTGGAAAGAAGGAGATGGGGCGGTGGAGGGAGTTTGAACGTAAGGTCGAGCTTGACCTTGGACCTTCGTTGTCCTCGTCCACTGCTGCTTCTGAGACACCTGAAGACCGCTCTGCTTCTGAGGCTCCTCAGAACCTCTCTGCTTCTAAGAAGAATCGGCACCCTCCTGCTGCTGCTGCTGCTGCTGCTGCTGCTGCTGCTGCTACTGGTTCCAACGCAAGGAGGAATGGTACCAGCCAGGATCGAGGAGGAATGGTGAACTTAAGGAAGAATGTTCTGACGCAAGGAGCGCCCAGCTTGGAAACGGCTGCATGGCCACGGGCAGGGTACGAGGGGTGCAGCTTAGGCCATGCCTCAGCCGCTGGTAGCAGCAGCAGCAGCAGCGGCAGTGGTGATGGAGGCCTATGGGGCTCAGAAGGCGATTATTATCTGGCTAATTACGTGGGAGTGGGGGGTGAGCCGTACATCCCGCGTCCGATCGTGAGCGTGCACGTGCGGCAGGGCGACAAGGCGCATGAGATGCGGCTCTTCTCGTTCTACGCCATCATGTTTATGGCCAACCGGGTCAGGCGCCTGGACCCCGAAGTGAGATACGCGTGGCTCAGCACAGAGATGCAGGTGAGAGGGTGAGAGGGTTAAAGCGTAGGATAGGGTTTCCGGTTTTAGTTTAGGCTTAGAGATGCAGGCGAGAGGGTCTAGGATCAGGGATTAGCGATGCAGGTGAGCTGGTCTAGAGTTTAGGCTTCGGGGTTTGGATTTACAGGTGCAGCTGAGAGGGTCGGTGGCACCACAGAGATGTAGGATGACACACAGGTGCAGGCGAGTGGTGAGGTGCTTCAAAGGCCCTGTCATTCAGTACTGCCACAGAAATGCTGGTGAGAGGATGAGTGCGTTTCAGCACCTAGGTGCGGGTGAGAGAGGGTGAGAGGGTCTCAACACACAGGTGGGGGTGAGAATGGCACAAAAAAGCGGTGAGAGGGGAAGATAGAGAGGATGTAAGTATTTTCTGTGTTGTTCTTGTGCATGTGATGCAGAGCGTAGTGGATCAATCGAATCGCTTCTTAGACTGGACGTTCTTCTACTCCAAGGTCCCCCGGCAAGGAGGCAGAACGCGCATGGCTGAATACACGGAGATGTTTGGCCTGGCGCGCACTGTGGGAATAAGCTTTGCAAACCTGTTGATTGCTTCAGAGTGCGACTATTTCGTCGGCGTCCTCGCGTCAAACTGGAATAGGATGATAAATGAGCTCAAGAACACCAATGGACGTTTGTATAGGGGATACGTATCAGTAAACGATGGAGAGTGGTGATTGGGCTGATTAGTGCACGCGGTTAAAAAGTAAATATAATATTCTGATGCTTACATTCTCGTCAGATGTTTGATACCATATTCCACAGCTTCAAAACCCTCTGACAAGTCAGACACCCTGAGATAGCCTATGCATGAAATGAGAGATTCCAGCCAATTGTATTCTCTACCATTTACTGAATAAATATGCTGAATTTATACAATTACAATGATCAGTGGCAACCAGATGATGTCTGCAGGGTTTCAGCTAGGATTTAGGGCTGTCTGAAAATCAGACGGGGTTCCAAAGTTTCGTCTGACCATCAGACGAAAAAATTCAAGGAGTCTGAGATTGTGACACGACCTCAGAGGAGTGTGCAGTGCAGTCGTCATAGCATATCATAGCTCCATAGTACAGCACACTAGATAGGGCAAATACATGGCAAGGGAACAAGGGTGAGCAGGCCATGCTAGTTATCAAAGCATGGGAGGGAAGGGTGGGCAAGTTGGAACAGAAAAATGCAAATGAGACTAGGTGGCAGGTCTGAAAGACCTGCCGATAGATGAAGGAGTTTGTCTCCTTTACAGCAAACTCCTCTTCTAGTCGAATCACAATCTGTAAATTTTTTACTACAAAAAAATTTCTCATATTGTGACACGACCTCAGAGGAGTGTGCAGTGCAGTCGTCATAGGTCAAACGAGACATCAAGTGGTAGGTCGTCGGCGGTGGCGCTCGAGGGTGGCCTGGTATTGATCGGTCGCGCTCGAGCGAGTAGGATCTTGTAGCGCGCGAGAAGCAGCCACTAGCTCGCGGTCAAGCTGAGTAATGTAAAGCTCCTTGGCTGTATCACTTCGCCAGCGACCTAGGGCCTTGAAAAGCCGGTCGGGGACTCCAATATCAACGGCGACCGTCGCAGCCTCCTTGCGGAAAGAATGGGTGCCCAGGAGGGCCGGGTTAAGGCCTACACGGGAGAAAGCATCTCGACACCAACCCCGAATGGCGGCGTACGAGGGAGAGCGATCTGAGGGGGAAGCTCGGGCACCCGGCTGAAATATACGAATAAGGGGGCCAAGGGTCCGCGGAGAATAGCCAGCCAGGAAGAGGAATTGTTGGACACGCGACACCGGACAGTGGCGGGCAGAAGAAGCAGCCACTGGGACCCAAACACCGGTGCCAGCTTGGTCGGTCTTCGAACGAGGGATGAACAACCACATGCAGTCCCGATCGAACTCGATCTGGTGCCACTGGAGGGAGACGAGATCAGAGAAACGAAGGAAGGCTGCGAACATGAGGAGGGGAATAAGGCCCCGCTGGAATGTGGCCGGATCATGCGATGAGAAGTAGATGTCACAGATATCGTAAATCTTGGCTGGAGGAATGGGCTCCTTAGCTTGAGATGGCTTGCCACAATGACGCATGGCATAATCCTTGACTTGCGAAGAAAAGGGGCCGCGAATCGGGGAGGGGTGGCCAACCAGCCAATGGGCGCAGGATATGGCGGAACACGCAGTGCGCACAGCTGAGACAGTAGCGCCGCGACGGACCGAGTGCAGCAGAAAGAGGGACGCTGTCAGGTCGGTGGCGGGAAGGAAGGGAAGTGAGTGCGCCAAACAGAAGGCTCGAAACTGTCGCCAGTAGGGTTCGTAAGTGCGAAGGGTAGACTTCGCCCGAAGATCAACGGTGAGTGTGAGAAGGTCCGACAATAATCGACCAATATATGAGCCTGCGCAGTGAAATAAATTGATACATTAGTTGAATGCAAAACGAAGCGCATACATCGGAGAGTTCGGAAGACCAGCACCGCTAAAGGCATGACGGTCACTGCCAACGCGTAAACAACTAGCACCAAGGGTAAGGCGAAGGGCCATAACGACCTCCGGGCCCCAAGTGGAGCCGTCCAAGCTTAGCAAAGGCCACCAAAAGGCACTGGGCCAATATGGGATCACGAGAGTGAGAGAAGTGCGCGAGCGACGGGCATGAGCTAGGACAGCCGGGATGAGGGTGGGTGGAGGAAAGGCGAAGCAATTCTCGTGGCCCCAATTGATAGAAAAAGCGTCTTGCGCAACCGCAGAGTGTGAGAACTCGAGGGAGCAGAAACGAGGGAGCTGCGCATTGGCAGGGGATGCGAACAAGTCGATAGTATGAGGCCCCCAATGCCTCTCAAGCAGCCGGAACCAAGGTCGTGTCAAGGAGTAGTCGTCGTGGAGCTCAATCTTGGACAGAGCGTCAGCCTCGGTATTCAGCGCACGGGGAATCCATTGGACCGTAAGACGGATCATATGGCGCACGCACAATTGAATAATCGCGCGGCATACGAAGGTAAGCTCGGGACGGCGAGAGCCTCCCTTCTGGAGGATGTAGTAGGCCGCCTGACTGTCGCTGCGGAGCAAGATGTGCGAACGTCGGATTTCGACAGAAAAGGCCGAAAGGGACCAAAAGATTCCGGCCAGCTCGCGAAGGGTACTGGACGAGCCCAAGAGGGCTAGAGGCAGCGGGGAGGAGAGCGAGCCGACACGACCATCCGGCGCTGAATAACAAGCCCCCCAAGCATGGTCGCTAGCATCCACGTACATGACCACGTCGTACAAATGCGGGTTGTGGAAGCGGGCGCCGTTGAAAACGTCGAACTGTGTAAGCCAAAATCGCAGTTCTTCAACAGACTCAGGGGTGAGGAGAATGGCCGCCCCCCATGAGTGGCATTCGGCGATCTGCGTAAGAAGGTGGTGGGAGAAAGCGCGCGCGACAGTGCCAAGCGCCAAGGACATGGAGGCCAACATGCCGGTGATGCGGGCAGCGCGGCGAACAGGGATGCGACGCTCGTTAGTGCCGAGTGTGCCTAATTCATCCAGCTCGGCAAAAAGCCGGTTGCGCCGATCCGCATCGACCGAGAAAGTGGTGGTGCGCGTGTCCAGCAAGAGGCCCAAGAACTTCAAAGATTGTGCCGGTGCGAGTTGTGATTTTTTGAAATTCACAACAAAGCCCGCGGCTGCGAGGTCGGCAATGATTATGGAGCGGTTGTGAAGAGCCTCCGCTCGAGTGGCACTGATGAATAGGATATCATCGACGTATGGAATAAGGCGGATGCCACGGCTACGCCAGCGTTTGGCGAGTTGCTTAATTAACTGGGTAAACACAAACGGCGCTGTAGCCAGCCCGAAAGGCAAAGAGAGGAATTGGTAGTCCTGCCCTTGCAAGGAGAATCCGAGAAACTGCCAGAAAGCGGGGTGAATGTCGACGTGGTGGTATCCAGATTTGAGATCGATCGTGAATAGCCAATCGCCTTCTTGCACCAAATCAGGAACGCGAGTAAGTCCTTCGTATCGAAAACGAGGTACTGAGAGGAATGAGTTGACATGCCGCAAATCCAATATCAGTCTCTTTTTTGAGGGTTGGACAATCACGTTTAAGGGGCTAACGCATGTGAGGGTTGTGGAAGGAGGAACGACCCGAGCTGCGCCGGTGGCGAGAAGCTCGGCCACTGCGCCTACGGCGAAAGAGGTGAATTGCAAAGCACCGGCATGGTTCTTAGTACGAGACGGAGGGGGCTCAGAGGCAACCCATGGTAGGCGATATCCAGATGTAATCACCGATAGAATCAAGCGGCTGTCGCACCAGGCGGACCACCATGCAGCGCGGTCACGGAGGCGGCCTTGCATGCGGGTAATCTTGGTTGCGTCATCGGCATAGGCCGAAATGGTTCCGAGCTCTGGTAGGAGAGGGAACACAAATAGGGACGGTAGAGAATCAGGAAGGTACCTCATGTAGTTCCGAACGCAACGATTTTTTTTTTTTTTTTTTTTTTTTTTTTTTGGAAGGAAGGCAAACGCTAGATATAGGTGCCCGCTTGCTCGCTATTATTCGGCCACGTCATCCCTTAAGTGATAAACTATGGGTTGGGAATGTGAACTTGGCATTTTGGGCTGTAGTTGGTCGTCATATATTCCTTGTCGTGAACCAAAAAGTGTTTCGGGAAATGTTGCCAAAGCATTCGCCAAGTGTTCTAATCTTAGTCTGCCAGGAGTGTTCACCCACATGTTCGCAAAACGTTTGCAAAGCATTTGCGCAAATGCTACGCAATCGTTTTGCGAGCATACGGTTTTTTTTTTTTTTTTTTTTTTTTTTTTTTTTTTTGCGATGGACATAGAAATCTTGTGATGAATCTTATCAACGTCAGTCTTTAAAGGACGCACACACATTGTGTATGCGTCTTGTGGGCACGCTCACGTCTTCTTGCACGGGCCCAACGTGCAAGACCATGTGGCCGTATGACGCGCGTATTAATCTTGCTTGAATGCACAAATGTGCGTGTGTGTGTTTTTTTTTTTTTTAAATTAAGAACGCTACAACATCGGAGAGGTTAAGCAAACTTTACCCAATCTTAGCTGGCCGATTGGCCCCTTGGCCCCTTTGGGGGCAATTAGCCATCCCATGCCCGGGTTCACGGCAATAGAAACAACGGCCGTCGCCGTCCCTACGCCATGTGTTCCAAAGGCGCTCCCCTTGGCCGCGAGGGCGAAGAGGGGGTTCAGGACGGGAGGTGGGATGGGTGGGCCGAGTGGGCCTCTTCTTGCTGGCCGCTACAATCTGAGAAGCGGCCTTCACATTCTTATCCTCTACCACTTCCCCATACTTAATCTTAAGGGCCATATTGGCCACTTCGAAACCGCGTTGATCGGCGGTAAACAAAAAATGAATCTTCTCTTCCGCCTCCTCTACTATCTGCTGGAGATAGTCGGCGGCTTGTTCTCCACCGTCAAGTGGTAAAACCGAGATAGCATGACGTGCAATAGCTTGAATGCGCTCAAAACTAAAAAGTTGCGTACGAATTCCATCGCTTTTAACTAAGGAAGAGCGCAACTGAGGACGTGCAGGTGGAATAGGAGCGAGGGTGAGCGATGCAGAAGCGGATTTCGGGCGGGCGGCATTACCTTCGTCGAGCGTGGCATGGGGTGCTTCCTCGTCCATTTCGTCGTCAACGGGCTCGGGGGCGGGCGCCGGGAGGCGAGAGCGTGGGGCCACCGTCGCTGCGACGCGTGCTGGTTCCGGTGGCGGTGCGGGATCGGCGCCATTGCCACGCTGGAGCGCCGCGAGAAGACCAAGAACGTGGTGAATGGCCTCGTTGTTGGTGCCGGCGTTAACATTGTTGTCGGTGTAGCGAGCAGAATTATGT